CCCCGTCCCTGGGATCCTCTCGTTCACCTACTCACCCGCCCGCACTTACAAGCCCGCATAAAAAGCCTGCCCGTGTGTGTGGTCAGGTATGCGTTGTGCCAGCGGTCCTGTCCAGGTGAGAGGGAGTGGCCTTCAGGGACAGGGAGAAGGCACAGGCTCTGAGGAGACAGGCAGCCCTAGGAGAGCCTGCCCGGAATTCCCTGCGTCTCCCCGCTGGAGCCCAGCCTCTGAAGACAGAGGGGCTGCTGGATGGGGCAGGTCTCAGGGCCTGAGGGGGTGAGGTGAGCTGGGAAGGAGGGGAGGAGGAAGAGGGAGGTGAGGACCCATGGATGAGCCAATGCCTCCTGACTGTTCTCATTCTGGTCTGCCTGCATCTGGGCTTCCTTCCATCCCATGAAAGAAAGACCAACAACCGTAGGGTTTGGAAGTCTGAAAGATCTGAACCAATACATGTTTACTGATCACCTTTCCAATGTACAGGCCAGCAGTTGTCCCAGCAGAAAAAGCAAGAGGAACAGGCAGAACAAACACCAGGATGGCCTGTTCCCTGAGCTGTATTTTTCTAATCTTTACTGCACTCCAACTAGGACTAGATGAGAAAAAAAATATACACGAGTTCTAGCCACAGGTGGCAAACAACCAATGATGCCAACAGAGAAAAAGAAATGTAAGGTGAGGTGCCAAGCTTCCAGTACTTTTCAATATCACTGGGAAGACAGATTATTCATATAAAATGATGAACCCTTCATAAAGGGTTCACCAACCCTGTTGGCCCTTGATAAAGACAATATATAATCATTGAAACATAATTTAGTCTTTAATAAGTCTTAGGTATTCTCACGTTCTGTTATTTAAGGGTAAATGGATGTTTCCCATTGAAAGAAGATGGAAAGCAAGTATTTGCTAATGATGTTATAAGTTATCTAATATATAATGATATTGAAACTCAAAATTGGACACCCCCCCCCCCAGTGTCCGGGTATGTGTGTTACTGGAGTATTTCTATAGGAACACACCCCGTTCACAGTGTGGTGGTGATAGAGAGGATACTGAATCATAAGACTGGAATTCTTGGTTTCAATTTTGACTCTTGCTAACCAAGATCATAATTTGGGGACCATTAACTTAGATTACAAACCTTCTTTTGGCTATAAGTAAGTCTTTTGTATTATTTATATTTATATTATTTATTTATATTATATATATTTCTATTATTATTTCTACATAGCCAATTCTATATTTGTGCTCTGAAAGTTACCTTAAAAATAAACCAAAAATATAGAAGCACAAACAAAACACATTCTGTCAGTTCACCCTCTTTATAGGCTAAGTAAACGGTACTTCCTCAACCCTAAGGAGAGAAATAAACAAAATCAAATGATTCCTTAGCACATGGTCTTAGTTAAAATAAGAGTGTGCACTTCATCACTGTGCACCTGGATTGTATCCTACTCTCTTAAAAAATGCATACAGTGGGGTCTTGACTGGATTTTCTCTTCATGATATAGAAGCTATCCCATGTACAGCTGATCACATTATGGCCCATTTGCTGAAAGGGATGAACGTCAGCACACAGGTTTAAAATTCACTCATGATCATTTATCGAGTGTCTACTATGGGCCAGGCACACTATCAAATATGGGAGGATCAGGGAAACATTATTCTCTGACATATCACAGCATAATGGTATAATATAAAAACCGATATGCTAGGAAATATCCTGCATCTTGCTAATGGTATAAATCAAAAGTCGTGCCAGAAAGCTGGGAGGAATAATACCTGGGAGACTCTGGGGAGACTGGTGGAGGTGATATTTGAGCGGAGTCTGAAAGATGAGTGGACATTTGCCAGGTGAAAGAGGGGAAGGGTATTTTCAAGCAGAGAGAATAGGATGGCTTATGAATGTGCCTGGCGCATTTTGAGAAACAGTGTGAATGGATGTGTAGCTGCAGCCCAGGCTTTGTGGGAGGGAAGACAAATGGGAGGACAGCTGGGTTGAGGCTAGAGCATGGGGAGCCTAGGCAGGCTACACTCAGTGGGCAATCATCCCTCAGGGAATAGGGGCGCAGAGGTGGAATGCATGGTGTGCTGTGGTTTTAAGGGAACTGGAGGCTATGTGGAGGGCTTGTGTGATTTGGGAGTAGAGTTAAGGAGCAGCAGGTTAGGAGACCCAACAGGAGGTGGCCCGGGAAGGGTTGGCTTTGAGAAGCATTTCTGAAAAAGAATAGACACTATGCAGTAAACACTGGGGGCAGAGGCTGAGGGGGAGGGAGAAGTAGAGAATGACTTTGCAGTTGCTCAATACAGGGGGCTGGGCAATGTGGGACTATTAATTGAAGTGCAATAACACAGAAACTGGGTGGGTTCTCTACTCCAGGGAGCCCCCGACTAAAGAGAATGACCATTAGCTTTGCACAGGTGGTCAGTGACCAAACAAGAAGACAGGATATCAGCTGAGAAAGTGGAGGCAGCCAACCCCAGAATGAGGCCACTGATCTTAACTTTCCTGCTTTTAGCTCAAGTAACATTCAGTTCAACACCACTTAAAATCTGTCATCTAGACTACATCTTATCTACGGGGAATCTGTTTTTTGGTTACACTGTGCATCATTCCACCTATCAGCATGTAATGAGTAGGATCTCTGGAGCCAGGTCACCTGGACAGGTGACATCAGGCAAGTCACTCAAATCTCTCTGTGCTTCAGTTTCCTCATCTGCAAAATAAGGATGAAAGTTCTTCATGAGGGTGTTGTAAGAATGAAATGAGTTAGTATATGTAGGCATGTGCCTGGCCATAGTGTTAAGCACCTTCTGTTTGTTATCATTATTAATAAGTAATGGGGTACTCCACTGTAAGTTGTACAAATATTAGAGATTTATTATCACAGAACAAGATTGGCAGTGGGCCCTTCTAGGGTTAGTGCTGTTTCTTAACCAAGTTATCAAAGACCAGACCTCTTCCCATATCCCACTTTGCCATGCTCAGCTTGCTAGTGATTTCTCCTCATGGTGGCAGAAAGGCTGCAGTAGCTCCAAGTACCAAGTCCTTACATAACCAGCATTCCAAGCAGGAAATAAGGGGTTAGGTTAGGAGCAAAAGGAGTTTTCTTCCTTGTGCAGCCGACTCTTCAATGAAGAGAATCATTCCTAGGCTTCCTTTCAGCTAGAACTGGGTCACAGGCCCATCACTAAGAGGGTTAGAAAAGCACCTGATACTTCCAAACTATAAAAAAAGAGGCAAAAGTGGAATTGGGGCTGGCTGTTGTATGGATCATGCCCACCACAGGCTGGGAGCCAAAGAGTTTTAAGGATGCCTCACTCAAGGTAGGGGTAATTAAGAAATAAGAACTTAGCTGTGTTCATTCATAGTGAATGAGCCATAGGCTTTGCCCTTCAGGAGTCATTAGCTTTTTAAAAAAAGAACTTTTTAACCCAAGTGGGTATCTTATTGGTAAAATATGGAGAGAGAGGATGTTTCTGAGCAGGGAGTCCCTCCTAGTCTTCTCCCTTGTCCTAGGCTGTCATATTCTCTTCCCACACACCAAAGGAGGTGGCTCATAATTCAGTTCACATTGTTGAAAAGTTCAGCTAGGCTAGTCACTGTAAAAGTTATTTAAAAGAAAATAAATGCAGGCTTCTTCCCCCTTTCCCTGCCCCTTGAAGCGGTCTCACCCACTGTGATGGGTAATAACCAGAGACCTATGTGAGAAGAGTCAGTCTTTCCTCCTTAGAAGCATGTCTTAAATCTAGCTGTTCCCCTACGATCTACATCTCCCCAGTCACTGCCAGAATTTGGGCCCATAGCATCTTCTATCCGGCTGACTGCTTTCATCTTCCGTCTGGGGTCCCTATCAAGTTTCTCCATCACAAGAAAGACTGCATGCAGCAAGGTGGTCAGAGAGCTACAACACACCAGGAGAAAGCTTGAATAGCCACAGAAAGCCTTAGTTCCACTATCCAATTCCATTAACAAAGAGAGGAGGAATTTTAAAATTCCAAGGCACTTAGTTACTAATCTGATTCTGGCCTACATGAGAATATTCAACAAATACTTGTTAAATTAAATTGATTCAAGATTTTATTTATTCAACCTACTTAAAGCTTATGTAAACTCCTTAGAGATTTGTGTCAAGCTGTTAAGTTGGAAAATACATGAAAAGTAGTATTTTCAAGAGACCAGCTTTCCTTTTAATGAGCTTTATGAGCTTAGTGTAAACCCGGTGGGGAGGCAGGGGGCTCCAGGAGAGGGGACTGGAAGGAGGAGGTGAGAAGAGAAGAGAAAAGCCAGTGTCTGTCAAATCCTACATGTCTTCATTGCAATACTTATTAACCAGCTACTGCCCTCTAGTGCCCACTGTATAAAGTTCTCACCCCAATTCCATTTTTATCCTGAAAAATCTGAAGACACCAGGACAGGACCAAACCTCTTGTTTTGCAGATAAGCAAGCAAACTGAAGTACAGAAAGGTGAGGCGTCAGACTGACTCAGGTGGCCTCCTGGATTCTTAATTACCCCACTGCAACTTGTCTGGCAAACTCTATCAAAAGCATTTCTCAGACATTTCAATAACCAGTAAAAATTACAGCATACCAGTCATTAAACAATAATTTTAAAGGCCATCTATTATTTCCAATGGTATTCCAAATAAAGCCAAAACTGACTGTTGGTAAAGTTTAGATAAGGATTTATAAACTATATTCTACATTTTGTTTGGTAAAGTTTAGAAAATGTTACTTCTTTCTTTTTTATTTTTTAGAAAAATAGTTAACTAGAACAGACCCAAAGTACATTCGGCTACTTATCAAAAGTGATTTATCATCGTCTCCATGTAGGCTAATATTCTGCTAGAATTTTCCCAAAGGAACCTTTTTGCTCACTGATGGGAAAAGGGGGGCTTTGTCATTTTAATTTAGAACACATATTTTCATCATTTAATCATTTTGCTGGTGGGAATACACTGAAAATTATCCAGCTGGAAGTGTCACATATAAGAACATTACTGAGTAACAGAAGATTTATTCAAATATTTAATTGGAAGGAAATACATCTGGAATAAGTTTTATTGGAATTCATATAAAAAAAAGAAAGTAAATCCATTAGAATTAATATCATAAACAGTTGACTTTATCTGGAACCTGAAATATTAACGAAATGGACCTTAGAAGTCCTAACCATTTTTCCCTGCAAAAAGTCAGTCATTTTCCAATTTGTGACAATACTTGATTACTTTAAGTAGAGCTTTGTTTTCAGCTAATATTTTAGTGATTGATCACTCAAATTACCTAATTTGTTTCCTTTCCCCTTTCTCTTCAAAAAACAAGCAGAATGGAAGTACTAGGGTGTATCTGGCTGTCTTCAAAATACTTCAGAGCTCCTGCGAAGATCAGCAACTCAGCAGAAGCCCCGCATTTGGGCCCCCAGGGAACTACAGAATTGAGAGCCATCTAGTTTTGTCCTTAGATGTCAACATAGATCCCGTTGATCAAGTAATCAAGTCTTGAGTAACGTCTCCTTCGGAGGGATTCTGAGAGGATTCTACCCGAGAGGGCAAGGCCTACGGCGAGGAACAGAACCCCGAACAGCAGCGTCCCCACGAGAAGCCACCTTGCAGACGGGAGGCTGTTATGACTTGCTGGAGCCCTGCTCAGGGAGGAGCCGCCAGGCCTGGCCTTCCCATTTTCCTGGGGGGCAGTTTTATTCCTAGAGGAAGAATCCACATTTGACAAAGGAAGCGTGGCAGGGCCCTGGGCGCCCTCTGTGCCCAGGTTAACGCTGGAAACGTCTCTGGAGGACCCAGTTTCCGGGGGGCTCTGCCAGTCCGTCGGGGCCTGGGAGCTGGGAGCCGGGCCTGCAGTTGTGGCTGTCCTGGCCCGGGGCCGGGCCCGCGCTGGGGTCCACGCCGCCCCGGTGAAGGCTGGGGGAGGCGGGGGACTGGCCGCTGCCCGGGGAACGGAGGGGGTGACCAGTGGCGGCGACATCACGGAGGGCTCCACGGGGGCTGTGGCTGCGGGGGGAGATGCGGGCTCTGGCCTGGCAGAGACGGGCCGCAGAGATGCGACGGCCCCCGAGGTGGGGAATGCTGTCACATTTTCAGGCAGCGCGTGAGCTATGTTTTGTTCTGCGGCAAACAGTGAAGTCTGAGAATGGCCCTTTTCCTTATAAACAGGGAACCCTGTACTCGCTCGATCCATCTCGAGCAGTGTGTCCACGTGATCTGAGGAGGCAAACAGAGAAGCCGCATCTCTCCGTAGGGCACCTGTGGGCTTGGCGGGGCTTGGCGGACGCAGGGCTGCGGACGCGAGGCCTTGGGAGGCCTGGCCGTGGGCGAGAGAGTCTTCGTGGGCTAACTCTTGGCTTGGCCAGCCAGTCCTGGCCAGAGATGGAAAATCTGAAAGTGTGAAGAAAATAAAACGGCGACTTAAATATTTCCATACGGAGGTTAAAATAGACAAATGTATCAGCTGGTTCAGTAAGTCGCCAAACTGTTGATACTTGACATTTCATTGAAACTTGTGTAAAATGGAAAAATACAGATTGCTAAATCAGAATCTGATGTGGCTGCCTCTCCACCAGATGCTGTGGTTTATTTCTAGGATGATGGGACCAAGAGGAGAAACACGTAGAGGAGGATCAGGCAAATGAAGGAAGAGGTGGGAGGCGCACAGCAGAGAAGCTGTGAGCAGCTCAGCATGGGCGGCAAGGTTTGAGGAAGATGGGGACACTTAGGGGACAAAGCCAGGGAAGAAAGCTGGGCTAGGGTGATGTGGCAGCAAGAAGACCGGCAGAGGAATTCTGGTTCAAGGCAAGAGATTTAGCAAACTGTGCCAGCTGGGAAGCAAGCAGTCACCAGGAGAGATTTCACAGTGAGGCGTGGGGTCAGGTGTGCAGGCAAGAAAGACGCGTGGAGGCCACGGGACAATAAGAAAAAGGCAGAATCCCAGTGATTTATCTTGCACAGGGAGGAGGAGGGGGCCTGAGAATCTGGTCCCTGAGGGTATCAGCACAAGGCTAATGACATTTTTCAGTCAAAAAACAGGTGTCAACACCACACTCAGGGGAGGGATGCTATCTGGGAGATTTAATTTTGATTCTCAAAGATAAAACTTTTAGAGCCAATGGCTTAGGTCTGAGGATGATGGAACCAATATTTGAAATCTTGGTGGCCACATGATGACATGAAGAGAAGATCACACAGTCTCACCTCCTGCTGAGGAGGAACGAGCCTCAGGTTCTCCTCCGGTGTGAGAAAGTTTAGAATTTTGCTGTTAGTCACACAGGCCATTTACCAGAGCTCAAATTGGAAAGGCTTGTTAAAGCAACCAGGTGTAGGGAATGATCTCACGCATTGCTCTGTGTTACTGTTACTCGGTTACTCATTTCACTTAGATCGGAATGGCAGAAAGCACAAGCTAGGCAGCAAAGGAGCATCTCGGCATTAACTGGTTCATCTTGCCTATTCTCTTCCTCCTTTTTCTTCTTTAGCTCCCCCAACACCAGTTTCTAAGCTAGACCTCACACTCCTAACAAACAGATCCAGAGCCAGCTGCAGACCTGTAGTATCTTCACTACCTTCTGAACTTCACACCCCCTTTAACGGGTACTTATGAGAGCATTTAGGGGGGAGGTCAGCCAGTTATGGCCCGAGGGGCTAAATCTGGCCTGCCTCCTCGCTTTGTATGGCTTGGGATGGTGTCTTGCCTGAGCGGGATTGCCCCCAGGCACGTTCACTCTGGATTTGGTGAGACCGAATAACAACATAACATTAGGGGTAAAAGGGTTAATACCACGCTTTTTTCTCAGGTGGCAGGTCGAGTGCTGGAATCATGTCCGCCTCTGGAGCATTCACAGTCTGCCTCTGCCTCGGGGAGAGCACTAGGCAGAGCTCTTTATATAGTAACACCCCAATAACGGCTCATGGCCAACAGGTAAGTAAGCATGTGCCTAGCAGTAAGCCAATTATGTCATCAAGTAGTTTAGGGTTAGGTGAGGATCCTGTCCATAAGAACTTTCATTTTCCCTACAGATTGTTTCTACATTTTTAAATGGCTGAATAAAAAATATTTTGTGACACATGAAAATCAGATGAAATTCCAATTTCAGTGTCCATAAATAAAGTTTTATTGGCACTCATCCATACTCATTTGTTTACATATTGTCTATGGCTGCTTCCTAGTACAAGGACAGAGACAAGTAGGTATGACTGATTGCATATGACCCACAATGCCTAAAACACTGGCCTGAAGAGCCTAAAATAGTAATTATTTGGCCCTTGACAGAAAAAGTTTGCAGACACCAACTCTTGTGCTCTAAAATAGAATTTGGACGTCTGAAGTTCCTCTATCCAGCAGTGAAGAAAAGAGTTTCTGATGCAGGTGACATCACATTCACAGAGGATCACCATGAGATAAACAACATCTATATTTCTAGGTAGTATCAGATATACTTTTTAAAGAAAAAGATCAGGACTCAATATATTACATTTTAAAGTTCAAAAAACAAAAAGATTATTTAAGTAAATGCTCTGTCATGGGTGTGAACTCAGAACTTAAATAAGGCTGTTGACAAGAGTGGCCTAAACAGCTATTTTCTTTCTTAAGAATGCAAGCTCATAAATAAAGCACAGGTAGGGCTAGTCCCATTTCTGGATAAGATTCATTTACTGCCAAAGATCCTAGAACCATGCAGGGGTGCTCGACACCTGCTCCATTTGCCTCACCCTGACGTTTGCCACTGGGGTGTGGCACTTTCTCCAGGGCATGCAGAGATGAGCCACAGAGCCCACAGGAACATAGCTCTGTGCCCTCAACCCCTCTTTTGAGTTTCATTTTCAAGTGATGTCACTAAATGAGAAACTTAGGGACTGACTCTTACTTGGAAACCAGCTGAGCAAATAGACTCTCGATTTATTCTATTTCTGAATTCCCCTCTTCTAGTCCTTAACAAAAAAAAAAAAAAAAAAAGCTGCAATGGTTTTATAGAATGAATAAAGCACACTGTCATCTTTCAAACATTCAGTTGGTAAATATTAGTCCATCAGTTATAGGAAATAGAGTTCATCTGGAAACAAACCACCAAACAGATAAATTCACTCTAAAAAGGAGACAGATAATTTTTTATGGGATAATACCAATCCGTCATCATGGGAAGATTCATAAACAGAATTTCAAACACAGTTTGTAAACATCCTGCAGTTATAAACAGTCCGCCAGCATACCACATCCAGGGCTGATTCTTTGGCCCTAGCCATCAATCAACCTACTCCGAGTAGACGGTGCCCCCTGGTGGCTACCACAGGAACTGGTGGCTTCTAATTCCTTCATTACCTTTTCACTGGCCCTTAAAAGGTTTATTCACATGCCAAGTTTCCTTTACTTCCACTGGAGAGAATCTTTACCACATACTCCCTCTTTATATATGCATTAAAAAGCAACAACGTTACAGAGCTATTACAAAATTTACAGACAAATTTATACACCAATAAATGAAATTTATAAACAAATTTATAAATTTGTTATAAAAACAAATCCAACTATAATTTCTATCCTTATGTCCCAGCAACTATGAACATTTCTGTATATCTTACACTTTTTTTCATGTAATCAAAAAACAACTGGATGTTTTTCACCAGAAATTTTGTTAATTTCTGTATCTCAAACTTACTTTTTAATATCTGTATCATATTCCCTCAAGTGGATCCATCATATTTTTATACCATTCTCCAGAAATTAGACATTTATGCTGCATCTAATTATTCCATTTTTGAACTATTATGCAATAAATAGCTTCACATCAATAGTTTTTTCTTGTTTTGGTAGTGTTTCTTTAGTACAGATTTTATGGAAGTAGAATTCCTAGATTAAATTACCTATGATTTCTTTAATACTCTGCTTTAATTGTGAAACAGATGCTAGACATAAGGAACACACACTGATAGTGGAAGAAAGGACAGAATGAAGACGAGGAAGTGAGAAGAAAAATAGAGGTGAAATACGATGGTGGGAGCTCCTGAAAAGAGAATAAACATTCCGCTCTGAGCCCTGACCTCTTTGGAAATTCACCCTGGGATATCCATTTCCTGTTGGATATCACCCCCAGGTGTCTAACAGGCTCTACAATGTTCCAGGTGATCAGAGAGGTACAGTGAGAAGCCATATCCACACCACACTGTACCCCAATGTTTTAGCCAAGGTTATATACATAAAGGCAGAAGTGAAGAAGCTACACAGATCAGGGGCAGCCCCTGACCCCTGACACCCCAAAAGGGCAGGAGGAGGACAAGACACTGTCTATGCAAGAGAGGGTCTTGAGTGTTCTGAGAAGCTTAATTTGTTCTGGACCATAGTCTTCATAAAAAAATTTTCTAAAATTATGATGAAATATACATACAACTTACCGCTTTAACCTTTTTTTAAGTGTACCATTCAGTGGCATTGAGTATATTCACACTGTCATGCAATCCTCACCATCATCCATCTCCAAAATTTTTTCAGTTTAAAAAATTGAAACTTTCTATTTTACATACCCATCATTTTATAATGGGGCTTATATCACTTTTGAGGAAGAATTTACACAAATAATCTGTGCTTTATGCTTCTGTTTAAGGGAATGCTCAACACATCGGGTTTTCCTGGTTCATGAACAAAACTCAGACGCAGCCTCACCCAGGGGACAAGGCAGTTAGGTGCCCGGGCAGTATCATTCTCAGAAGTACCTCACATGTAATACAGATGAGACAGAAGCCTTGATTGCTCCCTGCTCCCAACTGTAAAACTGCTTCTCTTCAAATCTTCCCCAGCTCAGTAGATGGAGCCACCATCCATCTAGACGCTCAAGCCAAAAATAAGGGCTGAACTGGAAGGCTTCTCGTTCTCTTGTCCCCCACATTCACACCATCAGCCAGTCCTGTTCACGCCACCTCTGAAACAGCCCAGATGTTCACTTCTCTCCATCGTCTCTGCCACCTCCCTGGTCCACAATGCCATGGCTTTTCACTTGGATCTTGCCCCTACCTCCCCCCAACTCTTTCCACGTCTCCTTTTGCTGCTGGACCATCGTCTGTCCCCCACAGGCAGTCACAGTGAGCTTTGTGAAATCACCCTTCAAACACCACGTTACATGCCCACTTAAAAACTTCCAATGGCTTCCTATTACACACCTGAAATACAAAAACTCCGAACCCTGGCCTACAAAGTTTGATGTGCTCTCCCTACTCCTTGCATATCACTCTTCATACATGGCTCACTATGAGTCAGCCAGCTGGGACTGAAGGGTTTGTTCTCTAAACACTCCAAAACCATTCTGCCTTCAGTTATTGGAAGGGGCTATTTCCTCAGCCTGGAAGGCCTTCCCGTCACCTCACAGCTGACTCCTTAACTGCTCAGATCTCAGCTAAGGGTTACTTCTTCACAGATGCTTCCTCTGATCACCTAATCCAGGAGGTTCACTCACTGATTATCTATTACATTGTCTTAGCTCAATTATCTTCGATTATATTTTTCTTGATCAGTTATTTGTTATGGTTCTTGTCTCTCATGAAATGTAAGTTCTAGAAGCGAGAACTCTGTTTCTCATGTTTAATATATCTTTGTATTCTTAGGGTGTAAGAAGTGCTTGGCACATAGGAGGTACTAAATAATATTTGTTGTTTATTGAATAAATGAAATGGAATATTTTTAATAGCCAAGGGTATAATGACACTTTCTAAAACCTAAAGGAAATTTGATATTGAAAGCATGCATGTCATCCTGAAAAATTAGTAGCCAAAACCTCACCAAGACATATCCAAAAAATTACATTACTTTTTAGTGGTTTATTTTCTGTATTCTGAGCAATTATGTAAGTTCCAAGCACTTATTTCCAATGCCTTGCACAGAATTTGGCATATGAGAGATGCTCAATAAATACTTCTTGAATGAACTTCTCTCCAGATCTGGATAATAAAATCCAGAATTTGATTTCAGACAGTGATATTATAAAATAATGGGAACCTAATGACAAACACAGTGGAATTTTATATATTCATGTGGGCCTTTACCCTTTCAAAAGTCACACTGGAGACCTGTATATGCCAGTGTTGCTGACATTGTCCTAAAGAGGTGTTTCAAAATGTTTTCATGAAAGATCTGTGTGCCTTTTATCTTATGAAGGTCAAAACAAAACAAAATACTATCATTCAGAGGTCTTCCATTAGAAAAAAAATGTTTGGCTAAATGAATTAGAATTTAAATCATGAGATTCTTCTGGTGTGCCTCTATATTTGTGACCTCTTTCGGTCGTACCACTTAGACTTTTTGCAGAACATCTTTCCCATGAACCATATGCTTAAGCAATTCTAATGACAAAAGAAAAAGAACACTGTTTTTATTACCTCTAATTATCCTGTAACTCATAAGTCCCTTTGCTGGTTTCAGTGGACAGGCTTCCTCACTGGGGCAGAAAAATAAGTAGCAGTTGGGTAGTCTGGTTGTTTTCCGAGTGTCGAAAATCATCAGGTTACAAGCTTTGTCCCCTGCAATGAAAGGTTTCAGCAGCATTATTTCGAAATCGGATTTTCTGAAGAGTATGGTAAGCAGGAAGAACTTCATTTATTCTTGTGTCCAACACAAACACCTTTGTTCACTTCGTTTGTGCTTGCTGACTGCTGAATCATTTCCTTTTCCTCAGTTTAGTCACTGAAGGCAATTTTTAAAGACATTGGGTTAAAGAAATCTGAATTAAGGTAATTTTGGCAAAACTAATTTTTAAGAGTACATTTAGTTCTGTAGAAATAAACATCCCATTTGCTAAAATATACATACAAATACTGACTTTGCAATCTTTACACAGCTCATGGCTGAGTTGGGCCATAAGAAAGGGATCCAACTCTGGTGATTTCATGTACATCCTGTACCCTGAAGGCAGTCACCTATGAGGCAGACACCATGAGCCTGGCTTTCTTGGGGTGGAATCAGTCAACTGAGCATCACACATGCTATGCCTCCCTCCACAAAGAACCTGAAGAGTGTGCAGAATGCAATGTCTATTTTTTATTTTTATCAGTACCATTCTTTGTTCTTTGCATTTCCGCTCTTCCTTATCAGTTTTGCTTTTCCATTTTCCTTCCTTCCTCACTTTTCACTCTTAAATTTCATTCCTGGCTTTTTCTCTTTCTCTTACGTCCAACAGAAATTATTCTCTCTTTTCATCATGGCCTAAATCTGGTGCAGTCTTCCCAACTTGGCCTTTGACCCTTGAGGGATCAGGAGACCCCTGGTCAGGTTAAAGGTTAAGAGGCATATAGGCTAATTATTAAAAATGCTCTTTCTCACCATACACACACACACAACTGTGTGTTAACTAGCCTCAGTGTGGTAATCATTTCACAATATACACGTTACCAAATCATGTTTTGTATCTTAAATTTACACAATGTTCATGCCAAATATATCTCAATAAAGCTGGGCAAAACCCTTTATAGTCTGCAAACCAGCAGCACCACTTCCTAAAATCAGGCAATGGTTAGGATCAACCCTGACTCCCCCAAAGGGAAATAAAACTTACTTAGCTTCTGCAAGGATTTTATCATGCCATGTCTCCACTACCCAGGTAACAAGAAAGGTACTTTAGCTTTTCCTTTCTCAGCAATGTGATAATTCTGCAATACCATTTTTTGGGGGCACTTAAGTAAAGGGAAGGGTCTGGTAGCCTCCCAACTTGCATTCAAAATTCTGTGTTCTTTATATTTATGTATTTACAAGTTTAGGTATTTTGTGCTATTTGTATTTTATGTCCTTCGCATTTTTCTAGCATCTGTGGCTATCAGCAAATTATCAAAGTGCTTTTCTGAGCCCTAAGCAGTTAAAAACCATTTTTTAATAAGGGAGGAAAAAGTCTGAAATCCATTAGCTGAGCCCCATAATTACCTCTGCTTACAGTATAACAGTAACAGTACTTTTGCTTGTAGAATAAAGCAGCAAGTCGTCATTTCTTACTAAATACCCATCATGGAACAGAAGAGAAATGCATGGTTTCCTATGTGTTTGACACAAGAATAAATGAAGTTCTTCCTGCTTACCGTCCTCTTCAGGTACCACCTAGCCTTCAGTCCTGTTTGCAGGTGATATTTGTATTTCACATAAACATTGATATGAACATTTAAAGAAAAGCTAGAAATTTAAATGAAATCTCTATAATTTCCACAAATTACTTCTATAAAGAGTGTCCAACAGCACACTGCTCAATTTGAGACCAGGGTTTTTTTCTTCCTGACACCAAATCTGTGATGTATTTTTCCACACTAATTCTCCAATTATGATTCCCTGACACCAACTGGGTGTCCTACCACCCACTCCACTTCCGACGCTGCCTACCTGGCAGTAGCGCCACACTCTGCAGATGCTTCAGCCCCAGTCGCAAGTAACAGATCCCAGGTTACTCACACTTTTGCCCCAACTTGGCTGCAAATTCAGGTTTCCACAAACCTCCACCCCAGGTTCAATAATTTGCTGGAACTACTCACAGGACTCAGGAAAGTACCACCCTGACTAAAACAGGTTATTGTAGAGGATGCAAATGAGGAGCCGGATGAGGAGCTGTGCAGGGCAGGTCCAGAAGGGCCCCACGTGCAGGCGCCCCTGTCGCAGTGGCCTGGGACACGCCCCACTCCTGGCACATGGATGTGTTCACCGACTTGGAAGCCCCCTAAACCCACTGTTCAGGGATTTTTGTGGAGGTTTCATTACATTGGCATGACTGATTGAATCACTGGCCACTGGTGACTGAGTTCGAGGGGCAGCCCCCTCACCCACCTGGAGACTGAGGCTGGGTCTTCCCAGTGACTAGCACCCATCCTGAGGCTATCAAGGAATCTGCCAACAGTCACCATCTCATTAGACAGACTCAGCTCATTATGAATGATGACAGAAGTTCCTATTCTCAGGACACTCCAAGGGTTCTAAGAACGCTGTGTCAGGAACCAGGGACAAAGACTATTACGCATACATACATACATTCTATCTATCTATCTATCTATCTATCTATCTATCTATCTATCTATCTATCTATCTATCATCTATCTGTCTTCCTATACCACAACCATTGCAGAAAGAAAAGGAAGTGAAGATTTGAGAGAAAACATACGATTTAGGGGGCTCAGTCATGTAAGAATCAGTAGCATGGTGTTCACTAGCTCTTCTGGGCTCCTGGAGGGCAAAGCCTTGCCCATCTTGGTCACTGTTTCATCTCTAGCAACTAGTAAGGTCTTGGGCAGTCAATAAATTTAGTTTTCTTTTTTCATCTAGGGAATTAGGACTGGGTCATATACCACTGAAAAATGACTATTGTTTCACTGAGATACATATATCTCTTTTCCGGTCACTGGTTTGGAGCCCGAAATATGCAAAGGTTTTTCCTCCATTTAAAAATTAAATGCTGATTTTCCTATTGGATGGGATAAGAATTTTATTTTTTTGTCTCAACTTCCTTCCTCTGTTTAAATGTTCTTTATAATATCACACTGAATTCCAATACTTCATGATGATGGTAGCTAAGTATTTAAATAACATTTTTGTTTTCAGCATCTTGAATGCCTGCTAGAACATAATACCAGTAGTTCTCAACCTTCCATCTACCCAGACACCTGTGTGTGATACACACACACTCAAGAGTAACTTTGACTCAGCTTAGGGGAGAAGAGGACATACTTGTGCAACATTCCTAGTAGTTCTGCTACCCACTTTCTACCCCATTGAGTAGTAGTAGTACAAACCATTCAGCCACATCAACCAGCTACTTATGTCACAAAAAACATGGAATAAAGAGCTGTCAAGGGACTATTATTTACCTGATATGTTTTTTGTTGAACAGCAGGAATTAACGCAGTCTTCTTGAGTTGATGTATGTATGGGCTCATTGCCTCTGATTCCCTTAGAAAGAGATGACTGGATGTCAATGACAACGTCTTCTAGACGCTTGGTGGGGCAGTTCTCACTGGTGGACAGCCTTAGCGTCAGGAAACAAATCATTACAAAAGTGTAAGTCAAGCTCCATTCTTCCCTGCAGAACATCTTAATCTCAGTTTAGTCTTAGTGTCCAAAGATCAAGGATAACGCTCCCTCTGGCCTCAGTTGGCTTCAGGAAGACTGCACAGATGATGGGATTTCTTTCTAGAACAAATATAGAAAATAATCAATGAGTTTAATTTCTTTTAACACATCTAGGAGAGAGAGTACTTCATTTCCTTCAAGACAATGTAAATGACTCACAACTTGTAGAAGGACAGAAATAAGTATTCTTTTATTTGTTTCACTTTTAATAGATTCAAGACTTTTCCTTAAAAACGTGGTAGAAAACTAATAGACCCAAACACATTTCCCATCAATGTGTAAAAGCTGACAGGTATCTATTAAGAAAGAGGCGTAAACAGTGGGCTTGCCTCTGTGAGTTTTAGAATTTTTCCTCTTCCTGCCCTTCGGAAACAGGAGAGGAGAGAACACAAAATCTCTATTCACTGATGAAGCAGTAATAGGATTGGGCACATTTTCTTTCTTCGTTATAACAATTAGCAGTTCAAAAATCACCTACTGGGAGGTAGGCAATGTGCCATGAAATTTACATATATTGCCCTATTTAATCTTTATGTCAGCTCGGCAAAAAAGCTATTATTTTCCTCATTCTGTAGATAAGGAAACTAAGGCTGCCTTTCTTGGTGCTGCCTCTCCTTAAGTATCAAACTAGAGGCAGGTAACTAATGATGTAATTCTAGGAATTAGCCAGTCAGTAGCAGGAATATTCTGGTTCAGTTGAGTTTTAGGGGCACATATTCTTTTCGACATCCCTAAAAACACAACAGTCACACTATGTATAATGCCAACTCCACTGGGAAACTTGTTCTCCTAGGAAAAATAAATGTTAAATTGGAAGGCAAAAGCAGAAATTATCCTTACCCACTCACCTCCACATTCCAGAATACAAATTGTTTCCTGAATGACAGCATACAGCAAATACTGTTTCTATAATCTTTTTTTTTTTTTCCCTGTCATGAACCTTTTGGTAGTCTGGTAAAATTTAGGATCTCTTCTGAGAGACATGCTTTAAAATGCAAAAATGAAATGTATAGGATTACAAATGAAGCCAGTTATACTGAAATGTAATTATCAAAAATGTGTCTGTAAAGCTCTGATGAAAGATACCAAAGACCTAAATAAATGGAGAGATATTCCATGATCATGAATAATGTCAAGATGTCAGTTCTTCCCAATTTGATCTATAGATTCAATGCAATCCCAATTAAAATCCCAGCAAGTTATTTTCTGAATCTCAACAAACTGATTTTACAGTTTACCTGGAAATGAAAAAAGGCCCAGAATAGCCAATACAATACTGAAGAACAAAGTTGGAGAACTGACAGTACCCAACACCAAGACTTACTATAAGCTACAGCAATGAAGACTGTGTGGTACTTGTAAAAGAATAGACAAAGAAAACCATGGAAAAGAATAGTAAGACCAGAAACAGACCCACACAAATACAGTCAATTGATCTTTGACAAAGGAGCAAAGGGAATACAATAGAGAAAGGACATTCTCTTCAACAATGGTGCTGGAATAACCAGACATGCCAAAAAAAATCTAGACACAGATCGTCCACCCTTCACAAAGATTAACTCAAAATGGATCATAGATCCAAACACAAAGTACAGAACTATAAAACTCCTAAAATATAACAAAGGAAAAAAATCTCATGAACATTGATTAGGAAATTAGTTTTTAGATACAGCACCAAAAACACCATCCAGGAAAGAAAAAACATGATAGGTAGGGTTTCACTAAAATTTAAAACTTAAAAATTAGAATTTTAAGACTTCTGCTCTGTGCAAGAGAGGGAATATACAAGCCACAGATTTGAAGGAGATATTTGCAAAATACATATCTGATAATGGACTAGTAGCTAAAATATACAAACTCTTAAATCTTAATAATTGGAAAGCAAACCACTCAATTAAAAATGGGCTAAAGATCTGAACAGACATCTCACCATGGAAGATATACAGATGACAAATAAGCATATGAAAATGTGCTCAACATCACTGTCTTTAGGGAGCTGCAAATTAAAGCAATAATGAAATACCACTACACACCTTTAGGATGGCTAAAATCCAAAAAACTGACAATACCAATTCCTGACAAAAACCTGCATACAAATGTTTATAGTAACTTTATTCATAATTGCCTAAAACAGAAAGCAGCCAATATGACCCACAATAGGTAAAGAGATAAACAAAACGTGCTACAACCATATAACAGAATATTATTCAGTAGTAAAAAACAATGAGCCCTCAACACCAAAAAAACAAATAACCTGATTAAAAAATGGGTGGAGGACCTGAACAGACATTTCTCCAAAGAAATACAGATGGCCAACAGGCATATGAAAAGATGTTCCATATTCCCAATCATCAGGGAAATGCAAATCAAAACCACAATAATACCTCATACCAGTCAGAATGGTCACTATCCAAAACACAAGAAATAACAACTGTTGGTGAGGATGTGGAGAAAAGGGAACCTTCCTACACTGTTAGTGGGAATTTAAATTGGTACAACCACTGTGGAAACCAGTATGGAGGTTCCTCAAAAAAGTAAAAACAGAATTACCATTTGACCCAGGAATTCCACTTCTAGGAATTGATCTGAAGAAAACAAAATCCTTGATTCGAAAAGATATATGCACCTCTATGTTTATGCCACATTATTTACAACAGCCAAGATATGGAAGCAACCTAAGTGGCCATCAGTAGATGAATGGATAAAGATGTGGTACGTATACATAGTGGAATATTATGCAGCTGTAAAAAGGAAACAAATCTTACCATTTGTAACAACATGGATGGAGCTAGAGGGTATTATACTCAGTGAAATAAGCCAGGTGGAGAAAGACAAGTACCAGATAATTTCACTCATTTGTGAAGTATAACAACAAAGCAAAACTGAAGGAACAAAACAGCAGCAGACTCACAGACTTCAAGAAGGGACTAGCGGTTACCAAAGGGAAGGGACTGGGGAGGGAGGGAAAAGGGGATTAAGGGCATTATGATTAGCACACATAATATATGTAGGTCATGGGAAGGTAGTATAGCATGGAGAAGACAAGTAATGACTCTATAGCATCTTACTACACAGATGGACAGTGATTGCAATGGGGGGGGGGACTTGATAGTATGGGTGAATGTTGAAACCACAGTGTTGCTCATGTGAAATCTTCATAAGACTGGATATCAATGATACCTTAATTTAAAAGAAAGATATATGCACCCCTATGTTTATAGCCACATTATTTACAATAGCCAAGATATGGAAACAACCAGTGTCCCTCAATAGATGAATGGATAAAGAATATGCTGTACATATACATAATGGAATATTACTCAGCCATAAAAATAATCCTGCCATTTGCAACAACATGGATGAACCTAGGGGTATTATGCTCAGTGAAATAAGCCAGGTGGTAAAAGACAAATACCACATGATTTCCCTTATTTGTGGAATATAAAAACAAAGCAAAACAATTACCAAAAAAATAGCAGTAGACTCATAGACACTGGTAAATGACTAGTGGTTACCATACAGGAGGGGTTGGGGTAGGTGAGTGGGGAGGGTGAAGGGGATAAAGGGGCACAAAAATTCTCAATCATAAGTTGGTCATGGGGATAGTTAGTACAGCATGGAGAATACAGCCAACGATTCTGTAACATCTTTCTACGTTGACAGACAGTAACTGCACTGGGGTGGGAGTGAGGATTTAATAATATGGGTAACTGTTGAACTACTGTTGTACATTTGAAACCAGTGAAAGATTGTATATCAATGATACTTCAATAAAAATATTTTTAAAAATACACTACAGGCCACAAAAAGACACAGAGGAATTGTAATTACCTCTTGTTAGGTGAAAGAAGTCAGTCTGAAATGTAAGATTCCAACTATATGACATTCTGGAAAAGGCAAAACTACATTGACAGTAAGAACATCAGTGAGCCAGGAGGTGGCGGGGTGGTGAGGTGGGGGATAAACAGGTAGAGGGGATTTTTAGCATAGCAACACTATGATAGTGTAATAGTGTATACATGCCATTACATTTGTTAAAACCCATAGAACTGTACAACACAAAGAGTGATCCCTGATATAAACAGATAGACTTTAGTAAAAAACAACATAGTATCATGTATAAGGTATATGGTATATGATATACAGTAAAAGAACACAAAGCTACTATCTTCCATGCTGTTATGTCCAACTTTTGTAACCAGTAAAATAATAAGTAACATTTGTTTCTGGCATGGCAGTCTTTATGCACTTTACCAACATCCTGTCATTTAATCTTCACAAGAACCCTAATGAGATAGATCCATTATCCCTGTTTTCAGTTAAAAGAGAACAATTGTGTGATCCATGTGCTTCTTTATGAACCTATTAAATAACAAGTAGTACATCTAATAACTGCAGTTTGAAGTCATGTTGAACACAAATGATATTTTGAGATATGTGCAATAAGTAATATATGAAAATACTGTGATTTCTACTGGTGGCAAATCACAGCTACCTCTGACTCTACTATGGCTTTTGCATACATGCCTCTTAATAGAAATGCTTAGAAAATTCCCTAACCTAAGTTAGAGGTTAGTAAACTAATGTATTTTCCCACTGAAGTTCACAGACTCTCTGAATATCATCCATGGACTCCAGGGTTAAGAATCCTGGCGCAAGCTCCCTTCTTAGGCTGCCACAGTTTGCAAGTCTCTTTTCAAGTCCTAAAGAAAACCAAACAGGAATAAAAAAGAGGAACCAAGTCAAACTTTACTTTGAATGGATTCTGACAGAATTGTTCCTCAAGCTCTTGCAATGAACCTGGAACTGCAAAAAGGACCAGGCGGGAGTTGTGTTTTTATTGAGCCTGGAAGTCAAGACAAGTACTGAAGAGTTTATGTCTTTAGAGAGACTCAACAATTATTAGGTAAACTGATTCTTCGAATCCAGTATCATTCAGGCCTTAAAAGTCCAAAGTCAGGTTGAATCCTGTTGAAAGGGAAAAGCATATGGGGAGGAGGGAGAGAAGGCATCTGAGTTTAATATCTACTTAGTATAGTCACTAAAATGAATTTGTACACAACTGTGTCAAATACAGAAAATCATTTTACTCACAGCATAAATTTAACCTAATTTATCAAGATGTTTATAATTGTGTACACACACACACAGACACACACACACACACACACACCCTGCAGAGTATTAGACAATCAGCAGATTCAATACTGAATACAGGAAACAAATCATACAAGATAAAACGGGAAATAGTCCCCTCCTTTGAGTAAGTTTATGTAGCTCACTAAACCTTTCTGCCCCTCCTGACAAGGACGCTGGGCCAGAGCCTTCGATGACAGGCACTCTGGCCTCCTGGACACCCCCTGCGCGCTCCCAAGAATCTGGTCAGGCCCCTGCGCCCCAGCCCGGGCTTCCGCGTGCTCCCGGATGGGAGGCCTCGCCGCGGGAAGGTCGGGGGCCCGCTCTCTCAAGAGGCAGGTGGCGACTCTGCCTGCGGCCCGCCCGGAGGGAAGGCGGGGACACCCATCCACCTGGCAGCGAGAAGCCCCGGGGCCCCCTGTTGCGCTTCCGTGCGAAGACAGCTCCGATGCGCTCGGCGACAGGCGGGGCGACGGGGTCGAGGGTCCCGGCGAGACTGGCAGGGGATGCCCCGCGGGTCCCGCCTGCCCGGCGGGTTTTGTGGTTTGCAAGTTCCTGCTTCCGTTGCAGCGGCCGAAAGTTTGCCGAGGGGAAGGGCACGTTCCTGCCCTGCAACCCGGAGCTGCTTCCTAGCAACTTCGTGCGCGGTTCCCTGGGCACCTGCGAGAGTCGCGAGCCCCTCCCCGCGGAGGCTACAGGTGCCCAGCGACGGCGGAGGCCAGGGAGAGAGTTGGCGGGCCTGCCGTGGGCGTGGGCGCGACCCGCGTGGGTGCCCGACGTCTGCGGCTGCGCCTCCCGCTGCCCAGGGGCCGGAGCGCGCTCAAACACACACGATGAAAGCCGAACCCGACACGTGGGCACGGTGAGATCTGCCTCACACCCCCGGGGTCCTCGACTGTTCGTCTTCCCAGCAAGTGCTGAGCGCAGTTTCTCCACGGTGAGGAGTTTCCTGCGCTTTCCATCTGGGGCCTGGTTATGAGAATCCTCTTCTCATTCTTCGCGGCATGTTGGGTCCTCAGAGTTGGCAATTCTTGAGTTAAACACGTGCAGGTCAAGCTTCAGGGAAGTCAATTGGAATTCCCCAAGATTCATCGTTCCCAGGTATGGAGAATAATGATGAAAACAATGGTGTCTTATTAAAATTATATCCCTAACATTTAGGGTAGCACCTGGTACTAATAGGTACTCAGTAAATATTTAATTAAAATGCATTTGTTGACTGAAGGAATAGAAAAGAACTACTAGGGTGTAGGTTGTTGAAGTGTGTTTCTAAATCAGCACTGGCTCTGCCCCCAACCCATATACAGCAAACAAAGGCAACATTGTGCAACCACCGACACTAATCTTGCCCGGTGTTCTAACCTTTGACAGTATCCCAATCTTGGTCGGTGTGAAAGCTCTTTGCTATTGTAGATTATTTTTCTAGGCCTGATAAAGCCAAAAGCTACATCCTAGTTTTAACCCATAGCTACAGGAGGCACATATTGACAGAGAATGCCTATGAACAATGGTCCACTGTGTAAAACTAACTCAACTAGTTCTATCCAGAGGATGACCTGCTCTTGAATTACAGTAATGTTGCAAATACTAGGTTTTAAAAAGTTACCAAAGTAAAGGGAACTCCAGAGTTATTTTTCACTGGAGTAATTTCACTGATGTAACCAGATTCTTGCACACAATACATTTTACCTCTGCAGATGCTATACTTAAGGGTCCAGGGTATAGACAGGTCACATTCTTTTAGCCTCCCTTCCCATGGTAGTCCACCCTGGGCACTAAGTAGACCTACTCTTCACTTAGAAACTTCAGATTCAGGGTTTTGATACAATGAACCTATAACTGTTAGAGTGACATGTTATTTTTTCAAGAGGACATTGATGAAAATAATAAAGACAAATTTTCTATTGATATGACCTGGGTGTTTAAATTTGAAATTATATCTATTGTCATTTCATTGTCTGAAGAAATTTGTGACCCTCTTCTCCTGATACTTATAAGTCCCATTTATGTAGAGGCAGATTTAAAAAGATACTATTTTATTCAGAAAAACATCTATTAATCTCCTGCACTGGAAAGTAAAAATCACTAAGGCACAGGATCTACCTTCAAAATGCTTATAGTTAGTAGAGGAGACAGACAAGTAAATCAGTTGTGTGTAAAGAGTAAATATTATATAGAAGATGCTAACTAAGGAAGCTCAGAAGAGGGACATATGATCTAGACTTCTGGAAGGAGGTACATAAAATTCAATTTTTTTTTTAAGAGTTTAGGTTCAGAGTAAAATTGAGAAGATGATATAGAGATTTCCTACACAACCCTTGCCCCCACACATGCATAGTTTTCCCCATTATCAACAACCCCCACCAGAGAGGTACCTTTGTTCTAGCTGATAAACCTATATTGATACATCATAATTACCCAAAGTCTACAGTTTACCTTACAGTCACTCCGTGTTTTATATTACATGAGTTTGGACAAACATATAAATTGTAGACATGTCTATCATTATACAATCACACAAAATATTTTCATTGCCCTAAAAATCTCTGTGCTCAGCCTATTCATCCCTCTCCCATACCCCAACCCCTGGCAACCACTGATCTTTTCATCTCCATAGTTTTGTCTTTTCCAGAATGTCAAATAGCTGGAATCATAGAGCATGTGGCCTTTTCAGATTGCCTTCTTTCACTTAGTAATACACATTTAAGATTCTTCGTGTCTTTCCATAGCTTTATAGATCATTTCTTTTTAATACTTAATAATACTCTGTTATCTGGATATATCAGGGTTTGTTTATCCATTCACCTACTGAAGGACATCTAAATTGCTTCCAAGTTTTGGCAATTATGAATAAAAAACTGCCATAAATATGTGCAGGTTTTTGTATGGACTTAAGTTTCCAACAGTAAGTTAAATCTTGAAGGATGACATTCAGTTAGGTAGACAGAGAGAAAAAGGCAGAGAATTCCAGACAGAGGAAACAGTATGACTGTTCTGGAGATTTCATCCTAACTGGCTCAAAGTTTGCCTGTGTACATAGAGGAATAGAAAGAGGCTGTAGTCAGAGCAAGAAGGTTCTCATGTGATGAACTTTTAAACTTAATTCTGAAGCCATGGGGAGTTACTGAAGGTTTTTTACAGGGCAGTGACAGATTCAGAGGCCTGATTAATACTCTAGAAAATTCTGCCAGCCACCCAGGCACTCCAGGGGGAAAATATGTTCCTAGGCCAGGGCAAATAACTTTTGAAGCTGAAATCAAAGGGAGAAATAAAGTGGGAGAAACTCATTTATTACTTACAAGCAGTTGTCTACTTCTGCTCACCTGTGTCTCTTGTGACCCAGCCTCAAAAAGACCCTAACAAACCTCTCTGGTCCAGATATGCCCTTGCTCCCTACTCCACCTTATAATCACGTATTGATAGGAGATAGGCTACTTCTCTCCAAGCCCTGGAAACACCTACAGATATGGAGATGCCCTAAGGCCAGGCAAGAGATTCTGGAAATACTGCAGTTTTACCCACACACATGTAGGATGGGTTGCAAGAGCCAGAGGCCTTCTATTTTCCAAGATATGGAAAAATTCAGGAGGCCCTGAAAAGGACATAGAGATAAAATTGCAATTAGAGAGGCTCTCCAGACTTGGTGACTGGCTATATGCAGTGGAAAAGGTAAACAGATTTCTGGTTTGGGAGACTGGGTGGGTGGATGCCAGGCAATGTAAAGACATGGGAGTAGGAGCTGGTCTGGAGTGGACAGAGGCATAATGAGTTTTAGAAAACCTGTATATTGGTTTTCTCATTTATTAGCTGTGTAATCAAGAATAAACCCCTTATCTTCTATGTAAAATTAGGAAAGTGTTATTTACTTTATAGGCAGATCATACAGGCCAATATATATGAGTGCTTTATAAACTTGAAAAGATGTTTGATTATTAGTTATTGCATATATAGGCAACATAGGTTTCATATGGAAGTGATGACAAGGGTAAATGGCATCAATCCCACATGTCTCCTACCTCTAAAGGCTCTCTGGAAGAATCCTGGTATTATAAACGCCTATTTAATTTTGTTGCCACCAGGACTATAAGCTTCCTAAGGATAGGAGCAGGGTCTTAATGGATCTTTTATCCCTAGCCTCTAGCAAGTGCCTGACATATTTTAGGCCACTGATAAATGTTGAGTCAATGAATGAAAGTATTTTATCTTCTGATAAATACCTTTATGAATAATAGCTTTATTGAGGTATAATTCACATATCATATAATTCACTTATTTAAAATGTACAATTCAGTGGTTTTTTATATAGTCACAGAGTTGTACAACCATCACCACAATGAATTTTAGAACATTTTCATCACCCCCAGAAAGAAACCTCCACATCCATTAAGAGTGACTCCCCATTTCCCCTCCATCCACCACCTCCTCCTTAGCTTTAGGCAACAACTGATCTATTTCTGTCTTTACAGTGCCTCTTCTGGACATTTCATAACATGGAATCTACAATATGTGGTCTTTCATGATGGGCTCTTTTCACATACCATAATGTTTTCAAGATTTATCCATGTGGCAGTATGTATTAGTACTTCATCTCTCTGCAGGGCAAATAATATTCTGTTATATAGATATAACACATTTTATTTATCCATTCAATAAAATAAATGGCAATGTAGGAGACCTCAACCTCCAGCCCCCAACAAAGATCGACAATTAGACAGCTATCCATGAACAAAAACAGCTCTGGGAGAGCTCTATGGTCCACTTATGAAACTTCAGCAACACAGTAGAACAAAAACCTGAGAATACCTGTACACAGGAGAAGGAAGACAACTTCATTTTGGTTGCATCATCCCATCCCCTGAGCCAGCACTGCTCAGCACCAAGAGGGAACTCCCTAGCTAGGAAGAGTTCCCCTTTCCAGGAGAGAAGAGCAGGGAGAGCCACTTCTCCAGCCTTTGGACACAAAGGTCCTGCTTCACCCAATCCAGACTGGCAAAGCTGAGACATACAGAGATAGCTAAGAACAAGATAGAAAAGCAGTAGCTACCAAAAGCAGCTATGCAATGGGTGCAATCGTCATTCATAGTGACCTACTCCGCAGCCAAACCCAGCAGTTTTAGCCAGTGAAGACACTTACAGACCTATGGTAGATCTCACCAGCTTTTGCCTCACAGGAATTCACATTCACTGACACCACCTGAGACCCTGCTGCTACTGACCCTACTCCCCCGACCCAACCTGGAGCCTAGGAATCACAATGGCAGCCAGCCCAGGCCTCTGCAGCTGCACAAGTGCAAAATGCCCACCTAGCCTCCTGTGGCTGATCTCCATTGTGCGTGCATGCTCCAGGTTAGCCACCTTCAGCTGCACAAGTGCACTCTGCCTATGTGACACCAGTAACTGACCTCCTCTGCAGTACACGTGTAGGGAATACGGTGGGTGAGGACTGTGCAGGGGACAGGAGAGAACACTGACAGTCAGGGTCACAGCAGCTATTTGTGGCCCTGAATCGGGCCCTGTCTTCTGTCACTGGCCTGCACCACTGCATGCACCTGCAGTGCCCTTCTAGCTGGGCACTTGCATGCTCCTAGCCCTACTCCTATCACTGGCCTCCACTACTTCATGCCTGTGGCAAAACCCAGCAGCCACGGTAGTGTATACTGACACAGGGTCCTTGCATACCAATGAGCATTTAGTTGGCACTGGCCCTGGCGGCCTGCCATGATCCCCACAACTCCATGTGTGTCTGCACCTGGCCCCTGCCACTACATAGGCATCTACAGCTAGCCCTCTGCAGCCATGTGCACACACCATCAGCCCTTGCCATTACTGTTGCCAACCCACGTCCCAAGCTGCTGGACCTGGAGGCACCACTGAGAACCACAATAGCCCTTGCAGGCACTGCTGTGCTCACCAAAGACAACATGGTGTATCCCAATGGCCTGAGTCAAGGAGACATCATGCCCTCCTTCTGGGGACCAGAACCACTATATGCCCTGATACTTGGTGCCCTGTACCACAAGACCCAGGGTCACA